GAGATAGAGTGTATATTATTATAAATATTAGGTAAATTTGGAGTTTGAATAGGATGTCTAATTGCAATAAAGTATATAAGATCTAAATGGTTGGAATTAAAGTTAAGAGCTTTGTTTGATGTATTTACTTGACCAAAGAATTGGGTTGAAAGATTAATAGGAATAATAACTATATATTTGTTAGCAATTATTTGAGAATTAAGAAAACATTCAGGATGTATATGTGATTAAATAGGTGAAAGAAGATAGAGGCGAGTAAATTGTAACTCAATATGATATTGCTAGTAAATAATTAAAATATTTCCAGACAAAGAAGGTTGTCTTCTAACTTTGTCAGCAATAATTTGATTATCATGTACTGTAATAAGCCATGGTTTTTTCTGTGAAGAAAAGTGTCTAATTGTATAACTGTAGTAGTTTGTTTGAGGTAAGTATCGAAATTAATAAAGTGTACAATTAGAAGAGTGACTAGTGACTAGGTCTTCAAGATAAGTAAACCAAAGTGATTGTTTGCCTTTTAAAATCTTGTATATATGAGGAGAAATGTGTTTCCAATCTAATAAGCATGAGTTATTAAAAGTGGTGAGTTAGTCAAGATATAAAATATAATGATATCTAAGTTGCTTTTTAAAGATTGAATATTTAGAGTGTAAAGAAAGTAGAGATTCTAAAGAGATAAAACCTTCTTGAATAGTATATGGAATATTGTATATTGGGTTAGAAGTAAATGCTATATCAAGATGTTTAAAAAGTTGAATAATCTTAAAGTTAGTTGTATGTTTGTTAGATCTATCAATGCAAGGATTATCATGTATCAATATACTAGTAGATGACCAAAGGTTGTTCTGTAGTAGGGGTTGGACCCGTTTAAAAAAACCTTATCCGTGTTAACTGCGGTTAAGCAACTTGATTATTCAGGTATATCCGGATTACCCAAATTACCCGGGTATATATATATTACAATGCATATTTTATTATTACCGTTATTAGTCAAAATATGTTATTTCAAAGTATAATTGCTATATGATTAGAATAAGATTTAGAAAAGTGTTGATTCAAGTAGTTAAGCATTTAAAGAATTTTGTCACTTTTAGAAAAAACATGTTTATTATTGAATTCTAACTTATATTAAGAACTTCTTTTTATGTTTTAAGTAAAGTCTGCTAACTGATAAAAACATTTTTTGCTATAAACTTCTATATAAATAAATTGAGTATTGTAATACATAGTTTTTTTATGTTTCTTTATTTTCGTATTTGTATAATTCTTTAAGTTGTCATTTATCTTCTATAATTATACTATCATAGCCACTTTAATCTTACCTTTACAGTATTAGACATTTATTATAAAGGAGTGTGAATTTCTGTAATCTTTATTTAGAGAGAATTGAAAAGCATGTGCTGTTTCTCAACTGAGGACAAAAGAAGCATTTATATATATGATAATTTCTTAGAACATTATCATTGAACTTAGGATGATAATGTTCTTTTTGAGTGTATATACTAAGATTTGAGTATATACTTTAATCTAAGTGTATATGTATACATTAAGCCTCAAAAAGTACATAATAATGCTTAATACTGCAAAGGTAAGATTAACATGGCTATGGTGGTATAATTATAGAGAGTGATTACTTAAAGAATTAATCAAATATAGAAATAAGAAGATATACATAGAAAAAATTACGTATTTATTATAGTATTTACTCTTAATAAACAAGTAGATTTATTTATCTTGTATATTTAATGGACAGTACAAAATTTAGCTTTAATATATTTAAGGAAAGTGATAGATTACACTTGGTTAAATGTATGGGAATTTCAAATAGACATTATAAGAATGTAAAATATTTTTGTTAACCGATAAATAAATTTGTTTATTACTAAATATATGCATGTCAAGATACTCTTTTTATACTTTTTATTTACTTATATTAAGAGAATCTATAATATCTATTCTTTACAAAAACTTATCGTATTCAATAAATTAATATTGCTTAACTTTTTTATTAGTTGCTACATAATTTGAAAAGCACATATATATTAAACAGATTATTTATATTTTTAATATCAAATTTTTGTCAATCAGATTTAGTAGTTAATAGACTAAATGCCATTATGTATTATATTTAAAAGAAAATTTAAATTATCAATTAATAACCTTATTTGAACTAAAGACATAAACGTTCAAGTATTATATTTAATAATTGGCTGCTTATTACTACACTATTGCTATTTTGAAAATATATAGCTAGTTACAATAAATCAGAAATATAGTTTTGTACAATCATAGCTTGCTGTATCTATATATAACTCGAGATTAAAAAAACCAGTTCATTGTTAACAGATCTAAAGCATATGAATTCAATAAGCTTAAATAGTTGCTTGTTAAGTAAATTAATAAAATGCGTAAATTCTTTTTTAAACAAATTATTGTATTCGCTTACAGGTAGTTAGCCATATTTATATTTGATCTTTTATTCTAACAAAGTTTTCAATAATTGCATTTGCTTTGCACATGTAAAAATTTAGCTATTACTAAGAGTTGCTAATTTAATTATATGAATATATATACTTTAATGTCTAATAAATATATACAATATCTTTAAAAAAGTTAATGTTAATTGATTAATAACTTTTCTTTTTAAATACAATGCCCATCTATAAATTACTTTCCTAGTTTATTAAATAATATGAAAATCAGAATCTGTTCGTAAAGCTGTATCTATATATATATTTAATAAATTTGTTCAAAGTTTCGTTAGCAATTTTTTTGCTTATTCTATTGCTATGGAATCTGATGAAAATATTTTTGATAATATTACCAATTCTGAGTTTGAAAATAATCTATCAAGTTTATCAAGTGAAAAATTACCCAATTCCTCTGAAAATGAGCCACAATCTAAAAAAATAAAAACCAACTTTGACTCTTCTGAAAATAACCAGAAAGATAGTTATGTATGGTTATATTTACAGGTTAGAAATCAAAAAACAACATGTAAAATTATTATTCCATCTAAAGGAAAGGAGGTAGAGTATGGAGCCACTTATAAATATGATAGTGGAACGGGTAATATGCAATACCATCTTTGAGTTAAGTATAATATTTATCCTCCAAATCAATTTAATAACTTAAACAATAAGAATCAGTTGAAAATTACTGATATGCTATCAAATGTACAACCTCACAAAGCACCAAAACAAGCAGAACTTTGTAATGTTACAGTTGAATGGTTAATTACAGATTCGCTTCCTCTAAATACTATTTATAAAAAAGGATATTGTAAAATGATACAAAAATTTGATCCTGCATTCAAAATTCCTAGTAATAAATCAATAAAAATGATAATTGGACAAGCATATCAAATTGGTATAGAACAATTAAAAAAACTAATTCAGACATCTTATAAAACTGCAGCACTTACAACAGACTTATGGACAGCTCGAAGTCAAGATAGTTATATAGGTATAACATTGCATTGGTTAACACCTGATTTTGAAATATGTGATATAGTTTTGGCTGTAGAAAAGTTTGAATATCCACATATCAGTGAACGCATTAACCAATATTTAAAATCAAAAATCGAAGAATTTGATCTTAGTAGTAAAATTATCTGTGTAATTACAGATAATGGTAGTAATATAAAAAAAGCTATTAGGCTTTTAGATGAAATAGAGCGTCTTGCTTGTTCTGCCCATACTTTACAATTAACAGTTTTTCAAGCACTTAAAAAACTTGATCTATATATAAATCGAATTCAAAAATTAATTAAATTTTTTCGTTCTCCAAAATGTATAGAATATTTAGATCAAGCTCAAATTGATCTTGCCAATCGTAATAAAGAATCATTTATTCTTCTTCATTTTGATGATTCTAATTTATTACCTAAAATTGAAAATCTTGAAAATGATAATATAAATTTAGATATTCAATCTGAAATTAAAATTTTATGTACAATTAATGATACTAGAACTAGGTGGAATTCAAGTTATAAATCATGGCAATGGCTTTTAGAATTACGACCAGCTATTGAATGGCTTAATGCAACCTTATATCTTCAAACTAATATTGGTGCCAAAGAGGATGCTAAAATATTAAAAGAATATATACTTCAAAACTATGAATGGAAATTATGTGAACGTTTAGTTAAATTATTTCAACCATTTGAAGAATTAACTACATATTTTAGTGAAATAAAATATGTTACACTTTCAATCATAAATCCTAGCATTGAAGCATTAATATATGAATATGCAAATGGATTATCATTTAGTGAAGAATTAGAATTATTTGAAGAACCTATTTACGATGAAAATATTACTTCTGATAATGAAAATTCAAGCTCTATTGAAAATAATTTTGATAGTTCATTATCAGTTGACTCAATTATTAAAACTATAGAAAATGTAATTTATAATTCGCTTTGGCATTATTAGTCAAATTCAGAACAAATTGGTCGATTAGCAACATTATTAGATCCCCGTTTTAAAGCTATAGAAGTATAGTCACAATCTATACGTGATAAAACAATTGAACAACTTTGAAGTGAATTTAAAATTTGGAAAATACTATTATACCAAATGAACATGAAGGTTCTCAAACTGTTTCTATACCAACGTTTTTAAAAAAAGTTTTTTCTCAAACAGAATCTCCAGTTAATCATGAAGTTGAAATTCAAAGTTATTTAAATCTGATGATTACTCCAATTCTACCGCATGATGAAAATGTTTATCATTGGTGACAGTTATACAAAAAAACTTTTCCTATATTAAGTCAAATAGCAAGAAAATATCTTGCAATCCCGGCAACATCAGTTCCATGTGAAAGATTATTCTCTGATGCGGGAAATATAATTACTTCTTAAAGAACATCTCTGGCTCTGGATATTATTAATCATCTATTGTTTGTTAGAAAAAATAGCTCATATTGTAATATTTTTTCATAAACATTAAGTATTCTTTGTTATTATATGTATCAATAGCTTAGAAAGATTGTTGCTCAATTTTTCAAAAATCAATTCTATCTAACATCACATAGGGTTAAGATTGGTTGCAAGTATTTAGCTTTAGTAAGTTGTTACTCTATGTGATGTCGATTAGAGAAAATAACTTTTAGGAACTTGTCCTGTAACTTTCTTATTCAGTGTAATAATTATAATGCACTATTTGGTTTAGCTTTGCAGTAGTTAAATAGAACAATTGACAGATGTATAAGACTTATGACAGACAATTATAAATTTCATATATGTATAAGAAATAAAATTTTTTAAAACTTATATAAAATTGTTTAATTCGGGTTAAAGTTACTTAAGCTATTATTAATACTACTAATTTAGCTCATTAGGTGGCTATAACCGAGTAAAAAGAGGATTTTTAAATTGTTTAACTAAAGCTAAAATATGATTAGCATTAGTATATTATTAAAAATAATTACAAATAAATTTAATTATTTTATATGCTTTACAAATTGTATTTTTTCGAATATCTAAACTACTTTATTGTATAAAAATATGAATTCACGATTTAAGCTATAATCACTTTATTATTTTTAAGTATCTTTTATATAAACCCTTGATTATTTACACGCTTTTAGTTACAAAAGTTTATTTTGCATTTTTTTTTAACTAAACAATTTTATATACTGATTTCAAGGGTTGTAGTATGATTTTCTAAAAATTATTTTCTCTACTTGACATCATATAGTGTAATAATTTGCTAAAAATATATAGCTGCAACCAACTAAATGCTAATTCTAACCCTATGTAATGCTGCTATAAAGGAACTAACTTTTAGAAAATTGAGCGACAAGTCAGATAGTTATTATATTCTGACCAATAATATGTAAGATTTTGCACCCGTATACCATTTCACCCTTCACTAAACCATATACTTCGTTTCATTCCGTTCTCAACACATTAAGCTGCGCTGCTTAGACTATATGCTCTGAGCTGCGCTGCTCAGACTATGGCTTAAATTTTTCCAATATTCTGTATAGAATAAAGAAAATCTTATATGTGAAATATTAAAGGCTTCTATTTAACGAAGGAAGTAACCTTTTCGACAACAAAGAACATTATCAGAAAATGAAATAAAGCTGATACATCACTCATTTTGAAGTTTTAATATACCTGATATAAAAATTTGGTTGGCTGCTGAAATGCGATACTAGAGCTGCTAAAAACTCTCAGCTTATGGGCAGGCGCAAACTTGTTAATAACAATTTACATGGTCAGGTATTTTGATTGCACAAGTTTTTTTTAATTAACTACATACTTATTTCTGCAAACTTTCGATACAATTACTAATATGATTTTTTTATTTTACAAATTTGCAATCACTCACATAACTATTATACTAACATCTTCACATTCTATACTATGTTGAAAATTTCCATTCATACTATATATTAACTTCCACCTTCACCTTTCTATTACAAAGATCCGCTACACTATTACACAAAATATGGAAGTCATGTTATTTGTATTATTTTGCCATAACCGATATACTAAATATATATGTACCAGATTTATCTAACGGATATACCCGTACTATATAACCTGGGTAAATCTGACAGATATATCTGTACTATATTACCCGTGTAAATCAAATCTTTACTCGGATATCCGGATAGATCTGGATTAACCGATTAAAGGTTATCCGGTTCCAAGCCCTATTCTGTAGTTGTTGAAGTCGAATTCGAGTGCTAGTGCTAAGAAGATCATGAGAAGTGAGCTGTTTAGTAAAGTTTATAATATGGTGTTGCAGTTGAATATCTTATATGTTGCATATATTGTATAGTTGAGGATAAAGTAGTGTACTAGTAGGAATGGTACGGCTAAGTTTGGCCTTGCTTTTGACAAGTCTAATATAGTTGGTAAGAATTTTGTTACATGTGTTCTGGCTAAGAACAATATTATGTAGATGGTATTCAATTGTAGAAATAATGACTTTATTAATAATATATCGTATATATGTATTAGTGATTTGTTTGGTACTAGCTATTTTGACAAGATGTGATAATTCAGCTATTATAAGTTTAATCTGTTTTGCTTGCTTGTTGTTAAATATAAACCAACATCCAAGAAACTTGAATGGTTGATTTGAAGGATGAAGATTAAGTAAATGATTGTTATAAGTAATAGGGCTATAATTGCATGGAGGATTGTTGGTTATAAGTATAGATTTAGAGTGATTAATTTGGATATTAGCTATATTGTAAAAAGATTCTGCTATTGAGAGAATTTGTGAA